CCCACCGAGAAAGCAAAGCGCCGGCGGCACAGATTGCGGCTGGGGAATCTGCCTAATTCGGAAGCAGGCTCAGCTGCTCGTGCTGTCCCGCAGCTTGCTCGTTCCGCTCCGCGAAATCTTCGATTTCACGTTGCTTGGCTTCAACCTCCTCTTTTAGGCTGGGGTTCTCGGCTCCACAGGCATAGATGGGATTAAACAGCAGCATTCCGACAACGATACACATATGGAGTGGGAGAAGAACCACCACGAATAACAACAAGCAGCTGTTGAAAATGGTGGAGGCACTGCTCAGCTGGCCGCTTGTCGGCCAGCCGCAGTCGCCAAACCCCACCTCTTCGGTCAAAGACATGGAGGTCGCATTGGCCTCCGGTTCGACAGAGATCCAGAAATTGGAAGTGAAACAGGCTACAGCTTCCCAAGAAGCTGCGGCCGGCTCCAGGAATTTTTCCCGGAGCACCGGGAGGCCCATGGGCCGTCCTAGCGAGCCCAGGGGAAGAAGGCCGTGGGGAAGGTCCACGAGGCATAAGGCCGTCCAGGAGATGAAGCGGATCAAAATCCCAATCGCTGGGATGGAGCCGGGGCCTCCAGGTGCTCTTGCCTCGTCATTCTTGAGGAAGCTTTTGGTCTGCAAGCCTGCCATGGCAAAGGCAACCATGAGGCAAGAGCCGGCAACAGCCTCGCGAAACTTCGCCGATCCGCCCCACCACGCGGCTGCGGCGTTCGCCACTGCGCCGAGGAGGTACGCCGGCATGGTGAGGACCGGGTGAAGGGTGGCGCTCGCCACGGCGAAGCCAGCCAGCTCTGCGGCAAAGGCGCCGAAGTACCAGGCGGTGAGCATGGCCGCCTTCACAGGTCTGACGGCCCTCAAGGCCGCTGCACCTGCCTCCGCGCCCTGGCGTACCTTGCAGGGGGTCTTGAAAAGTGGGCATCGGCAAGCTAGAGGCTACCACAACTTCTGCATCCCCGAGCTTCGGAGGCCGCTTTAACACTCCAACCTACTTTAACGGCTTCTTGCGAACGCCCTCCAGCAACACCTCGCCTCCTCCTGCAGCCGGCCCTCGGCCATGGCCTTGGCTGACGAGTAGAGCCCATAGAGGCAGCTGGCTGCCTGCAGCGGCGTGAGCTGAAGTAGGGAGGCGCCGTATGGGCCGATCAGCCCGGTGCTCGGGGCTTCGATGACCCGTTCCATCGCGAGCATCCCCTCCCAAGCCGTGGTCGTCACCCCCCGGGCCAAGCAGAGCCGGGCCTCGGTCAGGGGGTCGAAGCGCTGCAAGGCGCTCACCTTCTGCATCCACACGACCGTGAACAAAAAGCTGAAGACCACGAAGATGCACATGAAGCCTGCGAACCAGAAATCTCGATGCAGTACAAAGGTGACGATCTGGACCATGTCGTTCGCCATGTCCTGCGCGGAGGGGGGGGGAGCTGGGGGCTGGGACTCAGGATGTCGGCCGACCTGGGGACTTCCGAATGCAGCTACGATAAGAAAGAACACAGGTCCCTTCGAAGAAACGACCCCCGTATAGCAGGGCCGAGGCTCGAAAATGTAGACGGCAAGCTGGAACAAAATCCCTGCAGGCGGGCAGAATCTGAAGGCGAAGACGGGTTTGTAGCCTTCAGGAGCCATGAGACCAGAAGCGCTAACGCCGCTGCAGCGGGCTCGATCCCAAGATGCTTCGCAAGGTGCGAGACAGGCTCTTAATGAAAGCTCTTCCATGCGGACGCCAGATCAGCCAAGCTCTCTCACCCAAGAGTCTCCGAGCCGCTGAAACCCAAAACCCCCGGGAATCTGAACAGGCTCTGAGCTCCCGCCTCAAGGATTGTCGCCGCGCTCTGTCTGCAGCCCTGCGCAGCTGCTGCCTCGACATACGGGGTATAGCTGCAAGTTTTGAGCTTTGGGGGCTCTCTCGGCCTCTACGGATTGAAGGGCCTCAAGTTTTTAATTTGGGGCTATAGGGATATATCAAGGTCTACAGTACGTAGGTGCTGGGCTCGAGGGGGTTCTCACTGGGGTTATCCTTCGTATATTGTCTTGTTCGGACATAAGAACGGCCGTACGGTCAGAAATGTGGTTGGCTGGCACTTCCTTCTGGTTGAAAATTGCCCGCAAGCTGCGTGTCGACCTCCGCGCTTTTTCGGCAGGATGCTACGCTGCAAACTTCTGGATCACTGTCATGTCATCCGCTCCGTGCCAGGTAAGCACCTTGAGCTTGAGAAAAATACAGAGTTCGAGCTTCAAGGCTCCAGGTACAAGGACAGCGCTTTGGACAACGACAGGGAGCCTCTCAACCTCCAAACAGCCGTAACCAAGAACCGACCGAATTCCTCGTGGGAGTCCCACTTACCCTTTTTCCCTTCCGTTCGCAGGGGTACCGAACACCTCTGATACTCTGAGGTCCTTAGGAGCCTTGAGGGGACCTTAGAACCCCAAGAGCCCGACTGTTGATGATGTAAATCCTGCATTACCTTATATGGAAACTACACCATGGGAAGTATGGTCTATTCTTTATTGATGGGTAATGCAGGATTTCTATCATCAGCCCTACGTCGAACCCTCCTCAACCCCACAGTGGACTGGAAGTCGGGTCCAGGGTCTGGGGGGTTTCCAGGAATAAAACCGGTGACGGCCTTTGAAGCTCAGAAAAGAAAAGGGATCTCCGGCTTCTGTTTCAGCTTCAGGGCCTTTTCGTGGATTCCACCGCCTGCCTCGCTCTGTCTGCCTAATTACTCCTGACCCCGGGTGCTCCCCGAACTGGAGCAACACGTTCGTACCGGCGTGGCAAGAGTTGGGCCGACTTTCAGGCTTCGGGGATGTGGGTACTGATGTGGCGCGATTCTGAAGCTTGGGGTCTTATGCAACATTGCACAGGGCATTCATGGTCCCAAGTCGGCTCCGAGCAGTGCGGGAATTTTTGCCAGCGGACCTCGGCAAAAAGAAGAAGTGCTCGAAGCCAAGCTGCCCCCTGGGCACAGGCAGCTGCTCTGCTTCCCTCAGGTAGCGGTCGATCCAAACTCACCAAACTCCTAAACTCCCGAAGAGACAGCACTCTCGAAGCTTCGAGCTGACTGGAACTCTTCGACCAAAGGGTCTCACAGCTTCAGAGTCGCCGCGCCTTTCTGAAAGCGCTGATGGCCGCGTTCAGGGCCACGCAGTCGTACCTCAGAGAACCGAAATTCTGGAAGAATCGAAAGCCCTCCGCCCCGAAGTCTCTGGAGCTTCGTTGGGACCTGGAACAAGGCTCAGGCAGACGAGAGAAGAACACATCCAGGGGGCGATGCCTTTGTAGTCGTATTACCCTAAACTTCGAGTGCTTCGCATCTCCGACAGGATTGGCTTGGGCCCCGCAAAAAGTCTTCAGCTTCGAGACAGTCTCGGTTCACAGAGCCTGGCCTCGAACAGCTGCAAACAGCTGCATGAAGGTTTGGGGAGGTGTTAGGGGGCTTTGGGGCAGGGCTTCCTGCGCTGCTCCCCCGCTTCCCAGCAGCTCTGCGATGCTGGCATGAGTTCAATCTGATGAGTCTCAATCTGAGTCATGAGTTCTTCACCTGCAAGATATGCCAGGATTACAGGCCGGATGACATGTTCATTGCAGGCTTCGTTTGCAGGCTGTTCTCTCAGGAGCGACATGGACGTTTCGATGCCATATCATCAGATATCGAGTTGATGTTTTCTTCTGCGGAAAGGGTCATGACATGGAGCGGTCGTAATGCTGACCGCCATCCTCAACCTCCGAAACCCGCGACAGACAGTGGTGCCCACCTGGGCTGCCCCCCTCCTAGACGACTCACCGTTTGAAAAGCTGCCCAAATCCGAGAGCATCCCATTGAAACACAAGTCGCCAGACCCACAAAGCCCAACAGGATCTGCTTATAGAAGCCCTGCCAGTCCTAACACAACATCGCAGTTTGCCGAACAAGGAACAGCTTCCAACGGCCAAATTCAATCATGTGCTTCTTCTGAAGTCCCTTGGCGAAACTACATGTCAGACCCTGCGCACCAAAAGCCGCACTACTACAAGTTTCAATCGCATGTCGGCCCAGGTTCTCAATGCTTCGCCGCCTGAAGTCCGCGAACTTCTGCATTGCCTCTGCCGAGCTTTGGATTGATGGCTCAAGGATGTTTTTTTGTTCGGGCGCGCAGGGCTTTGGGGATCTGTGTCGGACTTTTGGGTTTTGCAGTGCCTTGGATGATTTAGGGCTTTAGGCTTAGCTTTGACTTGACTATGTCTGGGCAACTGTCGGGGTGCGGCCGAGATCGGGCCGACACCTTGCACGAATCGGGCGTAGGATTCGGCAGGTTTGGCCCTTCAGGGTTTGAGGCCGCGGGTGAAAGGGGCAAGGGTTTCAGGTTTCGGGGTTGACCCACTACTCCTCGAGATATCTGCGACCCCCCCCGAGCCCGAACCCGCTTGAGCAAAAGCCTCGCATCTCCAGCCTTAGCCGCGCATAACACAGCCCGAATCTCTTTGGAGGCACCTCCTCCCAGCGCGACGCGCTGCCAAAGCCGGTGATCGTCCGTGTTAGAGCCAGGGCCTGCAACGGGGAGGGATGCCAACTCCCGAATTAAGGGCTGAGGCTTAGACATTGAAGTCCTTCAGTAAGGGCTTCTCCCAGGGTCGCGCTGGGAGCCTAGGCCTTAAGTTCGGGGACCTCGTCTGGTTCAGTCACTGCCGTCACTAGCAAGCCTACATCTTCGAGCTTCTGCATGTAGGGTTCCGGAGTTCGGCAATTTCGGGAATTTCAGAGGTGCAGCTCAAGCGCGGCGAGGCCCGACATGCAGCACGTTTGCACGCGGATAGCTTTCGATCAG